ATGTAAATGGGCAATAATGGAGTATAAATTGTGATATATTAAACTTCGGATGAGTTATGTGATTGAATAGTATATAGGTTGGTGAGCGTGATACTGGGGAGACTCTGCTCAAACTGTGTATTGTGATCCCGATAAAAGGGATGATGTGCCGTGATGTCGGGTTATACGGCATTCACGGGTATTTCCGTGGGTTGATAGCTGATCAATGAGTTGATAAAGAACCTCCGATTTTAGAGGCGTCACATCATGACTTTCATTCCAAATCACCTTGGTCAAATTGACTCTGGGTCATCACTCAACCAAGTAAATACCAAAACCACAGTTTGTATTCCCTTGGGGAGCTATTCTTTTGGGCATTTGATCGAACAACGACACTATACTAAAAAACCTCAAGAATTAGATGCAATAAAGGTGGATTTTCTCAGTTTGAACAGATACAAGCTCTGACCATGACAGTGTTTAGCACTTAATATTGCACATTTCATAATTTAAACGATTCATTTTGTGTGATTAATTGATGACTTCTCTCCAAATTTGGTTTGACTATTGATTAAGGTCATGCTTGGGATTGTAGGAGTGAGAGAGGTGGTGAGATTTGATGGGGATGCTATGGAAAATCTGAAGGAAAAAGTGGAAATATATTAGGGAAGATTACAACAAGGATTGAGGAAAAAAGCACTTCAACCAGTTCATCAGCACTTCAACCGATTGATCAGAGGAAGTCTAGAAAATGAAAGATACTGGGAGCACTTCAATCGATTTATCATTGCATTCAAAACCGGTTGATTAGAGATTGGAAGATTATGCAAAACTATTGGGAGTACTTCAATCGGTTGAACAACCACTTTCAACTGGCTAATTAGACAAGTGCAAAGATAAAAACAAGATGCTGAGAGCCATTCGACTGGTCATCAAAGCTCTTCGATCGATTGAATAGGGCAATCAACCGGTTGAACCTCAATTTTCAAACCGTTGAAGTTAAGTTGACTATAGGAAAAGCTTTCCCTCATTCTCATTTGTCAAGGGAAGTCGGCTATTCTTCTTCCTACACAAATAGGGTGGCTATCAATCCCCATGAGTTTATTTTTTATTGGTGGATGGCACCTCCTAAAGTTCAAGAAGACTTTTCATTGGTTGACAATGGCGGACAAAAATTCTTCGGTATTTCACCCACCACCCGCACCGCACTTCTGGCCAATGAATGAAGAAGAATTATGCTATATATACTTGTGAATCTTTGTATGAGAGGGAGAGAGAGAGCACTTTTGGAAGAGTTTTTCATAGTTTTTTTGCTTAGTTTAGACGTTGAGTTTGTAAACATCCATTTTTAAAGCTTTGTCGGGTGTCGGAGAAGAAAACTTGTATCCATTCCAAAGTTATGTTATCTTTGCATTTGAACTTAGCGATTAAGAAGCAATCATAGAGTAAGCATTTCCTTTAAACTAGTTGTTCTTTTACATATGTTTGCTATGTTGTTTATTGCTGATTTCAGAATTATGAGTTTTGTTTCTGGCGAAGTTTTGACGCAATCCAATGGATGATTCTCATCCATAATCAAGCTTAGTGACTCTTTAATGGTTTCTAACGGATAAAATGTTTGGTAGAGAGAAAAAACTAATTTTGAATATTAGTTGTTAAGTAACTACTTAGATTTCCCGTCGACGGTTCATTTGACACGAGTAATGCTTAGAAATCATTTACATAATCTAAGTGCTTATTATTCTAGACTTTCTAGTTTCTATTTTTTATCTTAAAAATTACAATAATATGCAACTTGATTTTTGTTGAATATTATCTATTCGAGCGCGTTTGAATACCACCTTGGATGAGTTAAAATGGTGAGTCACAATGTTTGATTATGGTGAGTTAATTCATGAGGATTAGTCGACTGTTTTCTTACTAGTTTCCAACAACAAGAATTCATCTCTCCAATATTCCATCAATCAAAAGATTTTTACTTTTGATTGCACACACATCACCAATCAAATACCATTTATTCCTTGAGGACACGACCTTAGAATTGTCCAAGTTACTACACTACATAATTTTCCTATGCTTGGAAAGCCCATTGTTATATTCAAAGAAGGAATGATTCACAAAAGAGAGTCAAGTCTTTTTTGGCGTCATTGCTGGAGAATGACAGTTCTATTTGAAAGGTGATTTGAACAAATGTCAAGTAAGTCTTGTAATTTTCATTACAAGTTCAAGTACGTTTTTCCACTATGAAAATGAATTGTAAAACTGTTCATAAAGTAGGCACGTGATTGCCTAAGTTTGAGAAATTGCTAACAATTAAGAAAAGTAATGTACCATCTACTATTCAGCCACCAACGTTGGAGTTGCAGCCACTACCAAATACCTTGAAGTATGCTTTCTTGGGGAGTGGTAAGACATTTCCGGTGGTGACCAATTCAATGAAAATCCAAAGAAAGAAGAAAAGTTATTGAATGTCTTACGAGCACATAAAGGAGATATTGGCTAGCGATAGCAAACATCAAGGAGATCAATCCCCTTATCTGTACACATCGAATATATATGGAAAATGATGCTAAATCGTCCCGACAACCATATAGAAGATTGAATCTCATAATGAAAGACGTAGTTCTGGCTACGATTCTAAAGTTGCTTGATGTGAGAATTATTTACCCTATTACAGACAATAAGTGGGTGAGTCCTATTCAGGCGGTGCCGAAGAATTTGGGGGTTACCATTATTGCCAATGAAAACAAGGAGCTAATTCCAACTCGGGTGCTAACTGGGTAGAGAGTTTACATTGATTATAGAAAGCTCAATTCCTGTACCCGAAGGATCACTTCCCATTGCTCTTCATTGATCAAGTTTTGTAAAGGGTGGTAGGTCATTTATTCTACTGCTTCTTGAACGGATATTCAGGTTACAATAAAATTGAAATTACATTAGAAGATAAGGAGAATATCACTTTTACTTGTCCCTTCGAAATATTTACTTATAGACGTATGTCATTTGGGTTGTGTAATACCCTAGGAACGTTCCAAAAGTACTTGGTGGAAATTTTTAGTGATATGGTGAAAAAGATTATGGAGGTATTTATGGATGATTTTTTGGTGTTTGGAGATTTATTTGTTAGATTTTTTAGAGAGTTTGGAAAAGGTATTAATGAAGTCTGAAGAGAAGAGTATGGTACTCAATTGAGAAAAATATCATTTTATGGTAACTGAAGGAATTGTTTTGGTCATATTGTTTCTACAAAAGGGATAGAGGTCGACAAGGCACAAGTTGAGTTAATTTTCAATCTATCTACCCCGAAAACGATAAAAGATGTGTATTCATTTCTTGGTCATGACAGATTCTATAGGAAATTCATAAAGATTTTTAGTGTCTTTGCACTTGATAAATTTAGATCTTATATCATTGGTTCACCTATTGTTGTCTATACTGATCACTCTCCTTTAAAGTATTTGTTGTCTAAGTAAGATGTGAAACCGAGATTGATTAGGTGGATCCTTCTACTACAAAAATTTCATATGATAATTAAAGATAAGAAAGGAGTTGAGAATGTGGTAGCAGATCATTTATCTCGGCTTGTGTTTCAAGACAGGCCGGAGCATTCTCCCATTCACGATACTTTTCGCAATGAATATTTTTTTTGTTACTACATCTTATCCTTGGTATGCTAACATTGTTAATTTTCTTGTTACAAGACAAATACCACCTCATTAGAGTCTAGAAGAAAAAGAAAGTTTTTGGTGGAAGTGAATAAATTTTTCTTTTATAACCCTTATTTGTTTAAATACTGTGCTGACCAAGTGACGAGAAAATGTCAAACTTATGGCGAGCAACAAGATGTTATGTCTTTCTTCAATTCAAAAACAGGTTCGGAACATTATGAAGCATCATTAGAGACTTATAGGTCTCCAAATGGTCAAGTGGATCCTTCGTTTCGTTGAAACTTTCGATCGTCGGCATCTTAAACCATTCCGTGAGTGGGAAATTAGACACGTTCGAGGTGAAATGTGACTTTCTTATGCTGTACTAGAGCCTCCAAAACCTCGAGGACCCGGGCCTTCATAGTATTTATAACATTTCCGAGCTTCTCGTTGACCTCCTGGAATTTTCTTTCCCACTAGTCATTAACTTTTGAGCAAACAACCTCATTTTAGCTTAACTCTTCATTCTGGTTTTCTCCTTTATGCTCCCTAATGTGGGACTGATCTCTTTTCAAGAGTTGAAGGATTTGCTAGTTTTGATGCTTTAACTCCTCCACCACTTTTTTATAACTTTTCGTTTCATCAATTCTTTATTTTATGGTGCTTCGTCCCACCATATGGGAGCTTGTATGCTCATGAGGATGAATCTGATGCGACTCTGGTTCCTTCGATCGAGTGATAGCCATGAGACCTGAGGGTTTGTGATATTGTAAACGCAATTGTCATTCCCACAGACGATGCCAACTACTGATCCTAGAATCTGTTCACCGAGATGGATGGCTAGAGTTATTACTTGGCAACTAGCAGGAGTTTTCCTACAAAAGATGTCGAAGGCCAGAGGGACTTCGACAGTCGACCCTCCAATGGTAAAGTCAAGCAAAAATGATGAAAAAATACTATATTTAGCTGAGAATAGATTACTTACCCAGATGATCCATAGCTTGGCCCTTATATAAGTCAGAAGATTGTACCGTTGAAAGATCTTCAACTGTTATTTGAATAGAGCGGCACTAAAAGTAAAACAGAAGCAGACACATTCTAACGTGGTATCTCAATTAGTTTGAATTAGTTAAGATGAACCAAGTTGAGGAACTGCCGAGCTGGAGTGTTGGTGATTAAGAATCTAAGGTCCTTGCTGAGTCTAGAGCTCACCCATCAAGCATCATGTGCTGAGCTTGAGCCCATGTGCTCAGCTCGTGCATAATTTATCATCATTAGAACATAACATATCCTAAATAAAGATGTGATTCCTTTGACACGTCCACATAATAGAAAAGCATATTAAGAAAGTACCTCAAGGTACAAGCATCACATACATAGTTCAAAGAAATTGGTTGAGATGCAATACGACTCGGTCAGGTCGTATCCGATTCGGTAAATCGTGAGTCTCACTGGAATCATGAGTTGTATCCGACTCAGTACTTTCCGTTACGATACCGTTTTACATTCAGTGTAAATCATGAGTCTTAGTCAACTCATGATCGACTTAGAGACGTCTCAGGTGATTTGGCCAAATAGTAAGAGTCATCATCATCGACTTGCACCATATTGCATGATTCCATTTTGTGATTCCGCAATATATACTGAATCCCTCTCCATGGACAACTTCTTCTATCCATCATTTTGTGTCTATCGTCCGATACTGTTGCACAATGCTGTAACCGGTGCCCTTCGAATCGATGACCGATACCATTGCCTCGAACCATGATCAAATATGCCTTATCCACAAAGTTTTGGAAATAGAGAGAGTGGATTTCAAAGCTATTGTTTATAGAGCATAGCCTGTCAAACAAAAATAAATCCAGGTATGACTCAAGTGTTTTGAGAAGGTACCTACACAGGCATTTAATAAACTAGGATCTGTTCCTTTTCATAAAGTTCTATGGGCAAGTAACCAACCATATGTGTCTGGGGGGAACAAATCTATAGCATAATCCTTGCATGTCTTGTCCAATTCAGAACCATATCCGTGTCTTTCCAAATGGATCACCCAAACTCAAAGTGTAGGGGTGGAGGTTGGGGTGGGGGTAGGCAGTTTAAATGCCAATAGCATCAGTAGGTTCTTAATGGAAAACTGACCAACTATATCTTTGCTGAGAAAATATTCCATATTTGTGATGATTCCAAGTCTTGCCCATATCCTGCCTGACGAAATAGTTTACTTAAAACAAAGAATTATCTAAGCTTAGGATTTAAATTTGTTCATCTGATCAATTAGGGGGGAAAAGGAAGATGAAGAAAAAAAAGGGTTCTACATCAGTAGCTGAATACTATAGCCACAAAATAACCCTGTATTGCCATCCAGTGATAGCGTATAACACCACAATTGTCAATAGCAAAGCACTGGTATTTCATTTTTCCTTAAGTGAAGAGTTCTAATGTGAATTTTTGTCACGAGTAAAAATATTGACGTACCTTGTTCCGGATGACCTAAGTGATCCTGAGGCTCGAGAAAGCATCATTTTTGTGCTTCATCTGCATCAACTGCTTTTGATGCTCTACTCGCTGAAGCTGCGATGACAGTTGGAGCAAATCAATAGTGGGCTCATCATTGCAAGAAAGATGATCCTTGCCATTTATGTATTCCGACCTTTGGAAAATCTCATCCATTCCAAAGTTGACAGCATTAGTACCATCAGAGATGAGTATGGGATCTAACTGAGACTCCTCAACAGAACTTATCCCAGATGAATGAATTTTACTTGTCTCTCCCATTCCTGACGTCTGCACGCTCACTCCCAGGAACTTCTCAGAGACTGCTGTTTGTCTATAATGAGCATGGCCACCTGGGATGATCAGGGAATGAACCATGGGAATTCCTGATGAATGACTCGAAGAATTGTGAGTTTGAAATGACAGAAGAGAGAGAGCACGACCAGAGTCTGAAATCTCTGATTGCCCGTGAACAGTTGCTGCTGAGTTGAAAAAAGAAAACCCCTCACTTCCTATTGAGCCGTTCTGAACCAAAGAACGAGAGATAAGGTTTGAGCCCCCATCACTGTTCTCACTAAATTTGCTTCCTGTTGTAGTAGTAATTCCATTGTCATGAAAGGGGAGACATTGTTTGTCAAAAGCAGAAGAATGGAAAAGCGACATTGATTGCATGTGTTCATTTGTGACAGGAATCGCTGATGGACTATAATCAGCCACATTTTCAACTTTTATATGCCTGCGCCAATCATTCATCTCATATTTCTGTGGATGCAGGAGGCTGCTGGGAAGTAAACCTCGGCTATTGAATGATGATGTTGTAAATGCTGTCCCCTGGAATCTGATCCCAGCAGAATCTGAACAATGTTCAAAGACAACAGTAAATTACAGTTTCCAGCAGCCGCAATAGGACATATTTGATGAATTAATAATGCTACCATAGAGTGTTCTTTTGGATGCCCAAAACTCGCAGCATATTTGGGAAAAAAATTCTGTCAGACACATGTATATAGGTGGGCATATATGTATATAGGTGGGCATGGTGCAATATATATTTGGGAAAGTCTTATCACAAGACATGGTGCAACACATATTTTACACTTGTGATAAGACTTTCTCTAATTGCCTAAACTCATACCAGATTTCTGTCAGACACATGTATATAGGTGGGCATGGGTTGACAGGAGCATGACATGCCAATCATTACTAAGAAGGTTCATCCTATAAGAAGCAGGATGCATCTGTGAGACTATGTGGAACATCCATGTGTGTGTATATATCACCTTGTTTTCGAAGCCACATACAATACTTTTTCCCTGCAATGTGACGCTATAGCCTTTGAAACATTATCTGTTGTAATTTTTCAACATGACACAATAATTCAGTGCTTGTTTGTTTGACCACATGAATTGAATGGTAAGAGCACCAAAGATGCAGATTGCAAAAGAAACCATCATCCTCCTACTACTGCAAAATAGAAACGGAAAATTCTATTCGGGTTCAATTGCCCATTTGGAGACTTAGCTTCTCCTTCATGTTGGCAAAGCAAACTACTAAAACATAGGTGTATTTTATTGAAGGAGGATCGTTCCAGTTCATGCACAAGTAAATAAAGTACTTAATGAAGTCCAGTAGTTATTTTCCAAAATACAAAATAGATGTTCAAGAATAAATTGGAAGAACCAAGACACTAGATCTGCTTATTCCACCCTGATCCCATTGACTAATAGACTTTAGAGGTCAAAACGATTTTCCCCAAGATATAAAAGCATACAAAGATTTTATTTCTATTCCTCAATTATATCTCCAATACAAGTCTCTGACATCTAGTAAAACACTCAAACCTTAGGAAAACAAGGTCCCTGTTTATCCAATTTTGGAATGTTAGTTGATTGACTCCATTACTTTTATTGAGGTAGTAACTGCATTCAGATGCCTAGTTTGGCAATGAAAATAACGCTGTCACATTAATACATAATCATAAATGGCAAGGCTGTCAGATATGCAAAATTTAGTCATAAACTAAACAGTTTAATCCAATAAAGAAGGAAGTGTGCCAAATAAAAGAGGTTTATTCATTACCACTATAGGGCTGAAACAGCTTCGCAGTTCTGCCATAGTGAATACCCCCGTGGGGTTTCCTTCGACGTTCATTGTGGCCTGCAAGACGTTTACGGCAGCTGCGCTTACCATCATCAAATTCAACCAGCAAGTGAAATCTGTACGGAAAGAATATTGTACACATATGTCATATTAGGAACAAAAATCACGTTACTTCTTACTGTTCCAGGCTTGGATTGACAAGGTTAACTTTCATGATTTTCAATAAAAATGTGCTGGCTTACATCTGATTGACATTTATTGTGGAATGACAGATAAATGCTATTTATCATGTAAACGAAATTTAAAATTGGAAAAGTTATGTGGAGTTGCCTGTTCAAAACATCTCCAATTTCTTCATATATTTTCCCATGTACTCGTTTCAGAAATACAGTGTAAAAAGGTGGATGACTAAAGGATCAAAAACGAACCTGCTACATTGCTGACAAAACCTTTGTTCAATGCCATTCACAATGACTTTGGCAGTCTTTGAGTGAACTTCACAAACTTTATGCCTCTTATGATAATCTTTAGAGGAGCTAAGATCTTTCCTACACCCATAAACTTGGCAAAAGTGGGTTGAAGAACTCAAACCCCCTGACCGCACTCTCTTTGCTGGTATAGATGACTCAGCTGAAGACAAATTGGGGGTTGCCTTACAGGAGTTGAAATTTTGGGCCTCACTATGATCAGCCAACCTCCCTAGCTTCAAATCGATGAATGATGAGTCCTCACCATTAGACTCCACAACTGAGCTTGATAGCTTAGAACTTGAATCTTCTTCCCCAGAAAATGCATTTGTCATAGCTGTAACTGAAGTCAGCATTCTTCCCCCAAAGATTGAGCCATTGGGCAAAGATTTTTTCATCATCTCTGGAAAACCCAATTCAACAAATCCCTGATTCTTAATAGGCTCTTGACTTGAGATTACCATATTACTTCCAAAGCAACTTGGGTTTTTCAATTCCCAACCTATCAACTCATTTTTATCTCTTGGAATACCATCAGCAGATACAGATTCCTCAGATGCAAACCCCGTACCCCCAGAAACAAAGCTCCAAGACTCCATTAAACTCATATATGACGGAATCACTCCCTCAAAAGGTTACATCTGAACCCAGAAAAACACTAAGCAAGAAAGCTACTTGCCTTCTACAAAATATCCAAGTTGACTTGTCATCTCAAAAGCCTCAATTGAATTCATCAACCTATGAATAACCAGGACGATTTTCCTTATAAGCATAAAACCCACTGAAACTTACTTAAAGACTTCAATTTGAATAACTACCCTCAAATAAATCACAACAACCAGTAACATAGAATCGCAAGAGCTGGATAAAAGTTGGGCAATATCGGAGTGAATTCAATCATTGAGCAATGAAGAAGAAGTAGATAAGCTCAATCTGTGCTTCAATAGTGGAAGCAGCACGACATTTAAAAGGGAAAACCCGCAACAGCAAGTGAAAAATGTGAGTGCACAGTCGCTGAAAAAGAAAACTGAAAGTTGCCCATATGATTAATGAAAGAGAGAGTGGTTTTGCAATACCAGGGACTTGCTGATTGGTAGTTTTGTGATATACACGACACATTGAATGAGAAGTTGCATTAATTTTCGCGTTCCAAACTCCACGGACTTAAGTAGCCTGTGCTTGGCATGGGGAGTGCTTGGGGAACGGGGTCGGGATGAGAGAGTGAGGGCTGGACCTCGTCTGCTGTTCGCTTTCAACAGCTCAGTATTATATTTTTTCTTTTTTTTGGCTTTTTCCCGTGAAAAAAAAGGAACAGAGGTAAAGAAGATTGCCTACCGATCAGTCCAATAGGTCCTAACCAGTTAGATCATAAGGCCTATAATTGTGTTTGTAGCACCTCTTGGGATTAGATATAGTTAAACTAGTATAACAACTAACTATTAAGTTCCAATTAGAATTTTAAGACTAAAACTCTCAACTTTAAGATGCGAATTAAAGTTGGTATCTCACTAGACCACCTTCCTTGGTGGTTAGATTAGTCGATATGACACCGTTCCACTTCCAATTGAAAAAAAAAAACACCCAACACAACTTGCTTAAAAAAAACACACAATAAATTCTTAAGTTGTACAGGGATATCCCACATCGGATAGTCTTAGGGGTGTGTGTGTATATATGATAGCTATGACACTTCTACTTTTAAGGAGTTGTGTTGTAGTTTGTCTGTCTCAAAAATAACCATGTGTGCTTACCAGGGTGATCCTCTGTGGGCTCTGCTGCATCCCACTTTAGGCCTGTTTCAAAGTACGGGGAGGACTCTGGGCCTGGGTGGATCGATGGGTAGGGGCTATCCCACATCAGATAGCCTTAGGGGTGTGTGTGAATGTATGACGGCTATGACACTTCTCCTTTTAAGGAATTGTATTATAGTTTGTCTGTATCAAAAACTCTTAAGTTGTACGGTAAAAATTTTTCCCCTAGAATCATCTTTTTACAACTTTCTTCATTTCTATTAGTTGAGTTTGAGTGTTTGGTGGATGGCAATGGTATTGTTACCCATAATATACTTGAAGTGGTAGGATATTAATTTGATACATTTGAAGCCATTGAGTGTGACAATAATGAAGTAAACCAAAAAAAAAAAAATTACATATCATATTTTTCTAATAGAAGAAAAGTGGATGTATGATAGTAATTTAACACTTGGAAACAGAAGTGTAGAGCGTAGTATATGAGTACCTAATATACATCCATAGCCCCAAACACATTTCCATAACCTAGCACCATGAGAAGTGGAAAAGGGCCGATGCACCAAAATTAATTAAGACATATACAACCAATCGTTTGCAATATAAAAATGAATGTCCAACTTACCACATCTACTTCTCAAATAAGTGGCATATTAGGTGGAAATATAAGAAATGAGATTAATCACCCGTTTAAAACAGAAAACATGATAAGCAATGATGTTTACTAACCATTTGCATAATCTTATTCCTTGCCCTGTCACTGAACAGTATATCCACCTTGGTGTTCAATGAAATTTGTCATTCAAATGGGGGTTCTTTCATGATTTCTTTCTCTTAATCACTTAATGCGCAAATTTTTTCTTTTCCTCTATTACTGGTTGAGTTTCATGTTTCCAATTTTTTTTATACCCAGGAAAAGGAAAACAACAGCAAATAATTATTCAATTGTACTGGAGGTTGTGTGAATTTTTCCAAGGGAATGCAAAAGAAAAAAGAACTAAACACTCATTTCACGCATTTTTTTTGTGCGTGTGTCGTCCCCAAAGTCTAAAGGAAAAAAATAAAGTGCAACTTGTTTTGACTAAAGGTAATATTATTGCACCATTGCTTAGTTTGATTAGTTCACCTTTCAATTGAATGGATTCACAAATTTTTGTTGCATTCATTACTTTTTAAATTTGGTAAAAAATTTTATAGTTAATTGCTTTGTTTTATTAACTAATTTTATAGGCATAGTTCTGATTTTTCTGAGCTCACCATATTCAGTTATGTGAGTATTTTTTTTTTATTTCTTGCTTCTGTTACTGGTATTGTCGAAACTATAACTCTGTCGTTTTTATGTCTCGAATCATTATTTTTTATAGATGGATCCGAACTAGGGGCGGAGGAAGGCACGGGCCAAGGTGGACAAATGCCCCCCCTAAAAAAAAAATATTAGTTAGGTTTATATATTGTATATTTATATAAAATTATTTGTGCCCACCCAAAACTCAAGATAAAAATATTAGGCCCACATTATTTACCCAAAAGAATTAAAAAATTAAGCCCATTTAATATAAAAAAATTTGAGTCCACTATTATCTACCCAAACTTATTAAAAAAATCAAATCTTTGACCTATCATAATCTACCAAAATCTATTAACAAATAAAATTTTTGGCCCAACATTAAAAATAAAACTTTTGGCCCACCAACCATTTAAAAAACAAATCTTTTAGCCCACTTGACTAAAACATATCTTATCTAGTATCTTTTTTTTTTTTCCTGTCTGTCTTAGTCACTCCTGCCTACCCAACCAGAAGAAACAGAGAGTAAAACTCACCCCTAATATTTAGACATATTTATTTGTGCTTACCCCTAATATTGTGTTTTGGTTATATCGATTTGAATAGATCCCTACTTAAATGATTGTTAATTTTTTAAACAATGTTATTGAAACTTAATTTAAAAATCTAGTACATTGTGATATTAAGTATAATAGTGAGTTTTAATATTTAATAAACTCTACTATCTATCCAATGATCACAAACCATTGAGTCTCTATCAATTAAATCTCAAACTAATATTATTGTTAACTTTTAGACATGTTTTAGATATGTCCAAATATGTTTTAAAATATTAATGTTATTTTATAATTTTTTTTAAAATTGTATAGTTATTTCATTATAAAAATATATGTCGCTATATAGTAAATTATAAGATCATAAATCGAAGATTGTTACCGCGATTTTATATATAAAAGAAATATTGTTAAAAAAATTAATTTGTAACTCTTTCAAATAATAAAAATATATTAGGGTTAATTGTAACTGATAATAATTAGTCGCATTTGCGATAAGAAGTTTTAATTATTATTTTTTTGTTCATGTTAGGTATATCGATTTTTAATTTTCTATGTTTAAAAATTATTAAATATAACTTCAAAAAAAATAAATTTATGAACTTTTACGGTCTATTTAAAAAAAAAAATTAAAACATGCTAGTGTACCCACTCTAAAATGTTTTCCTAGCTCCGCCCCTGATCCGAACCTTCGCAAAGCAGTAAGATTAATTGCATTGTGCCTACACTTTATAAATTCCATTGCGCCTACAATTCAATTTATTAAGGTTGCTCGTACAAGTTGATCTAAGTGAGATCAACGACATATCTGTCAATGTTTTGTCTGAAAATGCATTCTATAAATTGCGTATGGATAAGGTTATGCTACTAGTATTGTCAAAAAAATACAAATTTTGCTAATTAGAAAAAGGTTTCCAACAAGCAATAAATCACATAATTGATATCCTAACACGTTATTATAGAATAAATTGAATTCACCAATCTAATTCACATTGATTTATATTGTGATTTGTATATTTATATGATTAATTTTTTCATTATTCATTAACGAGTCTTGCAAATTTTTAGCCATTAACACACAATTTTACACGTTTGTTTGTATTTCCATTGGCACAAAATGGGTTTCACAGAGATTACCATTTGCAGTTATGCAAGTGCTATTGGTGAAATATCGATAACACAAGCAATATCCTGTTGGGTTTGTTATCACAAGAAATATCAATAACATGTGGTAATTTGAGATTGATTCGACCATTTTTCTTAGAGTGAATGTGTTGGTATTTCGGTTAGAGTGATATACACTACATTGTCGGTGATATTTTTGCATACAATCAAATTAATTTGAACACATTTGAGTTCCTTACCCCTCACTCTAACTCTTACATTTATCTCTCTCTCACGCACACACGACTCCATACCATCATCTAGGAGAATTATTGCGTTGTTGTGTTTTGACTACTTAAAAAATCCAGTAAGTTACTTAATTAATTCAATGTCGAATCTAGATTTGGTGTGATATGAGAGCGAGATTTATTTAGCCGAATTTTATTTTAAAAAGTTATGATTTTGGACATGCTAAAATATTGTCCAAATTATGTATTGGTTTCCTTAGCCATTCTTACGTATTATAGATTTAGTTAATTTGATTATTTTCTTAGTTAATTTTCTTAAATTTTTGTTTCCTTCATAAATTTCTACATTGTGTTTACTTGCGGTAGATTAATGCAATTTCTATTAGGGATTTGAAATTATATTAATTTGCCAATAATTGAATAATTGTTTAACTTATTTCACACGTCATTTCCTAGCTTAGGCTCTCGCATCAAATTTTGATTCCCCTAAAATTGAGGCCCAACATGCCAAAGTTTAACAAAATTGCAATGATAGTAGTACGTGCTCGCCATGCGAGTTGGCGTAGTGCGCACATCGGAAAAGAGAACATTCTAGGAATTACACTCCATCTCTACCCAGATATTTTCTAAGAATGACACCAACTTGTGTGCCCAAAACAACTAATTCGGGGAGGCGACACCAGTCCCTCTCCTAACTCCCCAACCATGCTCCACTTGCTAACATGGTTAATGTATAATACAATACAATCCCGCCGCAATCCCAACCATCTCTTAGTACAATACTAGTTGAACATTCGCCTAATCAGTTGTGCAATGTCGAGGTATATTTAATGTTCCCATCGTTTGTATCCGGATTAAAATACAAAAAACTAACTATCTTTAGAATGAATGTGTATTTGGGTGGGAAACACTAACTCTCTGCAATCATACTGCACCTTCAATGTCGAAAGTATGTTGCACACCCACTAATTGCCTGAAAAATGGAAAAGAAAATATGTTTGCCTCTTTGGTAAGTTTTCTGATTAATGTCTTCGAATTGATAAGTATTTCTATTGGTCTTAAGAAAAATAAGGATGTAACTTATTGTCCTACCCCTATTAGATAGTTGCATAGGAAAAGATCAGTGATTTAAACTCCCCCAACCCTTATGTCATGATTCACAAGACCTAACTCCATTGCACCGAGCCACTATATCACACCTTCCTCAAAAAAAGGGGCGCGGACACATAATTTGGAACATTATCTAATACCTACAATTGCGTCCAACCCAGTTGTCATTCCAACTGACCTTGATCCATTATCACTTGTCCCTGTGC